TATACCAAATTTCTTAAGGAACAATAGCCAAAAAGAAATGTGTGGCTCTTAGTAAAAGAAGATTCCGAGCATTAGACATTCAGAATTAGAATTATTTAACCAGATGCTTTTTAGAACAATCTTGACTTTATTTTAGTGCAATAGATAGACAATTTAGTTTGGTGTCAAAGAAAGAATGCTAGACTAGGGGCATGAGGCCTGCTGATTTCCTTTTTCTCAATCTGGTCTCTTCATTATCATCATTAATAATAATAATAGCAAACACTTAGAACATTGCCTGGCCACTGACAGTGCAATGGGCTGTCTAAGAGCTAGACATATATAAATAACTCAACATATGTAATTTCTAAAAGTTTATAATCTGTTAGGAATTATACAAAAGTTAGCTATTATTGCAAATAAAAATGTCCATAGGCATAGATGACCTCTAAAGGCCCTTTAGCTCATTAAAAAGATACAAAGAAACCAAATGCTGTCATGTACTACATGTCTGAGATGCCCAGGGACTAGTCCCTTCCCTGGTGCTTCACCTTGTCTGCACGTTTCTGTGCCTTTGCTTAGGCTGTTCCCTTGGTCTGAACGTCCCACCCCCACAACACATGCGTGTGTGCCCTTTATTTCTTTAAGGAGCACCTCAAAGGTCACTGCTTGGCCTCTCTCCTAGGTAGAATCAGTCCTGATGTCTTCTAATAGCACTGTGTGTACCATGGCATGCAATATAATGGAGGTACCTGCACTATGTATTTTGATTCCACAAATCGACTTGGCGTTTTTGAGGGCAGGGCCCGCGCACCTTTGTCTGCTCCACTTCTGACATAGCTCCTGTCACTTTCTTCAATTCCTTCAGCTGAAAGAAAAGAATAAACATTTGAATACATCATTATAGAGTACAGGCATACCTTGTTTTATTATGCTTAGCAGATAATTACGTTTTGTACAAATTGCAGGTGTGTGGCGACCCTGTATCAGGCAAGTTTATCAGCTCCATTTTTTCCACAGCATGTGCTCACTTTCTGTCTCTGTGTCACATTTTGGTCTTTCTCACAATATTTCAAGCTTTTTCATCACGTTATTGCACACTTAATAGACTGCAGTATAGTGTCAACACAACTTTTATGTACACTGCGAAACCAACAACTTCACGTGACTCACTTTATTGCGGTGGTCTGGAACTGAACCCTCGATGTCTCTGAAGTGTGCCTGTAGCTGTCCTATTTGTGGAAGGGCCTCAGTTAGAATCAGAACACATGCACCCCTATAGCTGGTAAAACCAAACTGTTTTTTTATAAGAACTTGAACTTCAAATATTAAATATCTTGTAGATGGCACATAACAACAACAACAACAACAACAGGCTATTTTAAAGGAAGGTGTGATCCACGGGGTGACAATCAAACATTTTCTGTGATTGTATGTTTTAACTTTTGTATTTTGTTTAAAAAGTCCCATCCTAAATAGGAATGTTGTTGATTAAAATTAGATTAGGAAATTAACAGACATCATACGTAACAGTCAGACTTCTGCTAGCTTCTACTATCTGCAGTACATTCAGGAAGCTCAGAAGTAATCTAGAAAAGCCTCTGAACTTGGAGGAAAACAGCTCTCACAAAGCCTACTTAAACCCACCGCCATCAAGTCGATTCCAACTCATAGCTACCCCCATAGGGTTTCCAAGGCTGTAAATCTTTGAAGCAGACTGCCTTATCTTTATCCCATGGAGTGGCTGGTGGGTTCAAACCACCGACCTTTTGGTTAACAGTCCAATGCCTTAACCACCATGCCACCAGAGCTCCTTTAAAGATGTTTTAGCTTGTCATGGGTTTCAGTAGGAAAAAAAGATGAAAACAACTCTCCCACCCATGTTGCTAAACCAAACCCAACCCATTGCCGTGGAGTGGATTCTGACTCATAGTGACCCTATTGGACAGAGTAAAACTGCCCCATAGGGTTTCCAAGGCTGTAATTCTTTACAGAAGCAGATGGCATCATCTTTCTGTCTTGGAGCGGATGGTGGGTTCAAACTGTTGACTTTGCAGTTTGCATCCAAGCGCTTTAGCACTGTGACTCCAGGGCTCCTTTTCCTGTGTTGCCTGAGGGCACTAAATAAAGCACTGTTGAAATGAATGAAAAGTGATTGACATGTTTCTCTCTTATAAACTATGGAAACTTCATCTCTTATTTTTGAAGAATTGTGATTTGTTTCAGTGGTGGCAATGTTTACTTTAGTCTGTTTTTTAAGTTGAGGGTCTATAAAAAGAGTGATGTCCCTTTGAGCTCACAGCTGGAGAGAAGTGGGTAATTAATTTGAGGTAGAGAGCCTTTGTCCCTTGATTCAAGTATTTATGCACTTTGTCATAAGTCAGAACCTTGAATGGGAAAGGAGAGTGTGTCATTTTTTTTTTTTTTTGTATAATTAGGTAAAACCTGTAGAAGTAAGCCAAGAGGAAGAGCAAAAAGTCATGATTAAATGATGTGGAGGCCTGTTTGAAGGCATACTAATCGGTGGCAGGACTGTAGATTAATGAAAATGAACATAATTCAGTTTTTTCCCTCTCTTCCTCTCCTTTCTAGATTGCCAAAATGCTTTGGAGTTTTTAACTGAAGCTAAGACAAGCCCAGAATAGATGTGAGACTGTAAAAACGGAAGCTGCAGCCAGGGGGATTCAGTGCCAATGCATCAACCAAAAAGACAACCAGAATCAGTGGAAGGAAATCTTCCTGTGTTTGTGTTTCCCACAGAGTTAATATTTTATGCAGATGATCAGTCAACACACAAGCAAGTGTTGACTCTCTATAATCCCTATGAGTTTGCCTTAAAGTTCAAAGGTGAGTCTCTGAGGTCTCTCTTAAGGGTTTTAACTAGTCCCTACTAATTTGAGACTTGTAGAAACTAATTTTTTTAAAAAGCACTAATGGCCACTGTGACTTTTTCTTTCAGTTTTGTGTACTACTCCAAATAAGTATGTTGTCGCTGATGCTGCAGGCGCAGTAAAGCCTCAGTGTTGTGTGGATATGTAAGTCAAGATCACTTCCTGGTAACATGGTTTAAGTGGGTTAATATTTTTGTTTTTAACTTGACAAAAGATCCTTTCTTGAAGCTGCTTCCACATAGGCATTTATTATAGTTTGGGTTTTGGCTGAAAGTTTCTATCAAAATTTTTTTTATGAAATTCCCAAGAGCTTCTGAACAGGTCAACCAAATCCTTCATCATATTGAATTATATTAGAGCTAATACGTGTTTTAATATTTCTGGGAACATTTCCTCATTGTTATGCTGCTAGTCATAGCATGTGTATCTATGAAAGTTAAGTTCTGACTTAACTCCCTTACATTTCTCTGGCTATTTTCATAATAATAGAGAATTTATCTTTCTTTGGAACATCCTGTTATTATAGTGACATCTGGGAAACTGATGCTACTCCACTCTTAAGAACAATGGTAATATAAATTCATCTGAAATGATGCAGCTAATAATAAGCCTGGAACTTAATTTATTACACACCGGAAGCAAATGTATAACTACTCACCTGTGAAAGGTTATCTGAATGCTTCCAGATAATTTCATCTTAGAGTGTCAGACAAATACTTATTTGTTCAAGCTGTTCATATTTAATTTTCACTTTAGAGCTAGGAGTGCCAGATGGATCTCTTGACTGGCCCCTAATGTAAGCTCCTGAGTAAACAGAACTCATGAGAACAAGAAGCAAAAGTCTTGTCTCTTGAATACATTTTCATCATGTCAAAGCAATGAAATAGTGTATCACTGAGAATGTGGCTTTTGCACATTCTTTTCATAATTTTTTTGTGGTGGAAATATACACAACAAAAAGCATACACCATCTCAGTGCATGTTTCTTTTGATTTCCATTCAGTAGGCCATAACAAACCACCTCCCCCCCAAAAAAAACAAAACAAAACACAAACTCATTGCCATTGAGTTGGATCCAACTCACAGCGACCCCTCCTTGGGTTTCCAAGACCCCTCCTTGGGTTTCCAAGGTGGTGTCTTTATGGAAGTAGATTGCCCAACCTTCCTTTTGAGGAGTGCCTGGTGGGTTTGAACCACCAGCCTTCTGGTTAGCAGTCCAGTGTCTTAGGCAGTAAGCCACCAGAGCTCCCCAGTATGCCATAAGCAAAGACTATTCCAAAGAAATCCAATCTCTCACCAAATGCACGTGTTCCCTTCCAGTGTTGGATTACCCATTGAGCAAGGGCAGCATGGGCTGACTTGTGCTTCCTTACTGATCTGTAGTGAACAGTTTCACATTATTTTCACCATATCAAAAATTCTGCTTCTGTGGATGACTGGCGCCTGTCTCTCTCCCAGCCACAGCACCTTTCAACAGAATCACAGCCTCTTTTCAAATTGACAGTCCCTGACAGGGAAGCGTGGTATCTAGTAAGCAGGGTAGGCATGGGCTTACTCCTGCTTCCTTACCCAGCTGTTCACTGTATCACAGACGACTAAGTGAACCTGTGGCACCTTGCTTACTGGGTCATCTGTCCCTGCCTTTGACCCAATCAATCGTTTTGTGTCCTCAGTAAGAATGAAGTAAAATAAGCGCAGTTGCAGAGAAGTCAGATAAAAATCCCGCTGCTCTGTGCTGTCTCTTCTCACGTGGAGATAGTGTTAGCTTTCATAGTGGATTAAGTCCTTATTCAATTGCGTATTTTTACCTGGGCTCATGGAATTCACTTTTAAGCCTAGAGTGAGGTTTCTTACTTGAAAAGTAAGTGACAGTAGAAATTTATGAGAGTTTTGTGGGGAAGAAACAATTTGATATACGGGCGTTCGTGCAGAACTTTTCGTAAGCCAAAGCGGCGTAAAGCAAAGGAGCCATTACCATTAATGTACGTGGGAAAACTTTTAGAGTGCTCCCAGACCCAAAAAATATCTACCAAAGCATACCAAGTAACACACAAAACTTAAATCACTAACATCCAGTGTTCACAGACACAGTTCAGACTCCGGCGGCTTGATGCTGAGATGCTGAGTGGGTTCCCGGGTAGGAGTTTGGCGACCCCTCCCGCTGCTTGGAGTGCCTGCTGCCTCTTTAACGGCTCCCTGCAGAACAAATGCAGAACACTAGTTTTGCTTTGCCCCTTTTTCCTTAAAAACGAAAACTGTCTTCAGCTTTCTTTCCGTTAGCGAAACAGATACTAACGTAGGTAGGTCTTTCGTAAAAGCAAAGTGCCATAAAGCAAACTTTGAAGAAGCAGCAGATACCTGTATTCCTATTTTAAATATTGCCGCACAGAGATAGCCAGGAAAAATATCGTTAAGAGAGGAATTTTTTTATCTATCACTCTTCAACTTAGGTCCTTTGTTTTAAAGTATGTGTTTTCATCAACTATTTCAGAATTACTCGTTTTTTGGGGGTTTATACTATGATTTTGTGGGGTTTTTTTTTTTTGGCATCAGTAGCAAATTTCTGTAATTTGAGTGTTTGGTTGCCAGTTAATATTATCTGATTGTATTGCAACGTGTTGCTGCCCTCTGATCGGCAGGCTCACAGGAACCTAAACCACATTTGTTATCTTTTGATGTTTCCAGTGTGATTCGTCATAGAGACGTTCGAGCCTGTCACTATGGTGTAATAGACAAATTCCGTCTCCAAGTTTCCGAGCAAAGCCAGAGGAAGGCTTTAGGAAGGAAGGAGGTTGTCGCTACTCTTCTCCCATCTGCAAAGGAACAACAAAAGGACGAAGAGGAAAAGAGAATAAAGGAACATTTAACAGAAAGCTTATTTTTCGAGCAGTCCTTTCAACAAGGTAGTTTTGAAGGTCCTTTTGAGGTCTGACATGTTTCTGCCTTTAAAATTATTGGAGAGCTAAGAATAATTACTACATGAATAATCTGCCATTTTAAACCTACTCAACCAATTTAACCATTTCAAAATGGAACCTAGAAATCAGGGACCTGAAAATACAGCAAGGGGTCCAGGGCTGGACTTGCAGAGGTGAGGATACCCCTCTCGGGACTAGGCTGTAAGGAGAGGGCACAAACCTTGCCGTTGCCTTTAAATACAGATCTGTTTTAAAATTGGAGAATGCAGGCACCATGCTATGATGCTAGTACAGTCTGGCAATTACATGCTTTTATTTCTGTGACTTTCCTATATCCTTTCTCATTTAATTAGTTTGAAGGAGGAGAGAGATTGTGTTTGGCAACAGACCAAGCTTGGTACAATGTTCGTATTATTTTGGGAAAAAAAAAACTCATTAAAGTTGAAGTTAATTAAACTAAGTAGATTATAATATCCCCTGTGGGCTATTAATTGAATCCCTCTCCATTCCTTATTTCCTTCCAGCTTAGATATTCAGAAGTGTTATGATATATTCTTTCAGCGTTGACGCTATCCTTATATTCATAACTCTTTGGACGTCATTCTCTCTCCCTTTAAACTTCTCATTATTTCCCCCAACCCTATTATAAAAGGAGGAAGATGAAATTTTCCACAGGAAAACATGGAAACTTTTTGATAGTAATATATGAATGTGGTAAAGCCTCTGTCCTTGAAATTGTAACATTGTGTTTGAGGGATTTTTTTTTTTAATTTCCTTGCCATTACATAGGAGCTGGTGGCGTAGTGCCTAAGGCATTTGACTGCTAACCAGAAGGCTGGCGGTTCAAACCCACCAGCCACTCCTCGGAAGGAAGGTTGGGCAATGTACTTCCACAGTGACACCATCTTGGAAACCCAAGGAGGGGTTGCTATGAGTTGGATCCGACTCAATGGCAGTGAGTAGTAGTAGTAGGCCCTAGGTAGGAACCTCTGGTGGTGTAGTGGTTAAGACATTTGACTGTTAACCAAAAGGTCGGTGGTTTGAATCCACCAGCCACTCTGTGGGAGAAAGATGAGACAGTCTGCTTCTGTAAAGATTTATAGCCTTGGAAACCCAATGGAGATTGCTATATGAGTCAAAATTGAATTGATGGCAGTGAGTTTGGTTTTGGTGTTGAGGCCCTAGGTAGTAGTAGCTAGTTTTCTTCTCAGTGACTGTTATTAACTGACCAAATCAGCTTTTCATTTTTTAAAGCTGAAGAAGAACCTCTGTCAGACGTACTTTGAAGTCAGATCAATATTGTGAAGTTGATTCTCTATTTATGAAATGCTAGAGTCCCCTTTGTAAATGCCTCCTATAGAACAAGAAAGGTGATATAAGAGTATTTATTTTTTACATTAAATATTCATAATTACAAATAAGGTGGTCATTGGAGCTCATTCTTATATTTATCAGACTGGTTTAATAGTCAAGACTAATGAGAATTAAGATTTAGTTGTGATAGGGAGTATGTGTGTGTGTGTGTGTGTGTGTATATATATATGTATTTACTGTTGTTAGGTGCCATCGATTCAGGCCTGACTCATAGTGACCCTATGTACAACAGAACAAAACACTGGTCCTTTGCCTTCCTCACAAGTGTTGCTATGTTTGAGCCATTGTTGAAGCCACTGTGTCAATCCATCTTGTTTTGTTGAGGGTCTTCCTCTTTTTCGCTCACCCTCCGCCAAGCACGATGTCCTTCTCCAGGGACTGGTCCCTCCTGATCACATGACCAAAGTACAAGAGACTGTCTCGCTGTCTTCCCTTCTAAGGAGCATTCTGCTGTACTTCTTCCAAGATAGACTTGTTCTTCTGGCAGTCCATGTATTGAATATAGATGTTCAATATTCTTCACCAGTATTACAATTCAAAGGCATCAATTCTTTGGTCTTCCATATTCATTGTCCAGCTTTCACATGCATATGAGTTGATTGAAAATACCATGGCTTGGGTCAGCCACACCTTAGTCTTCAAAGTGACATCTGTGCTTTTTAACACTTTTCCAAAAAAATTTTGATGTGCGTGAAAGCTTACAAAGCAAATTCATGTGCTTTTTAGTACTTTAAAATGTTTTTTTGCAACATATTTGCCCACTGGAATACATTACTTGATTTCTTAACTGGTGCTTCTTTCGGTGCTGATGGTGGATCCAAGTAAAATGAGATCCCTGACAACTTCAGTCTCTTCTCTGTTTATCATGATGTTGCTTATTCATCCAGTTATGAGGATTTTTGTTTGCTTTATGTTGAGGTATAATCAATACTGAAGGCTGTAGTCTTTGATCTTCATTAAGTTCTTCAAGTCCTCTTCAGTTTTAGCAAGCAAGGTTGTGTTATCTGTATATCACAGGTTGTTAATGAGTCTTCCTCCAATCCTGACGCTACATTTGCATGATAGAATTTTGCAAGACTACCTATTCATTGGAAATACCTGTTTTCAACAACATAAACAGTGACTGTGCGTGAGGACTTTGCCAGATGGATTATATAGGAGTCATATCTACTATATGATATAGGGATATCATAGCTGTTGTCAGATGGATCTTGGCTCAAGGCAAAGAATACCAGAAAGATGTTTACTTGTGCTTTATTGACTATGCAAAGGCATTTGATTGTGTGGATCATGACAAATTATGGAT